AAGCAGACACTGTTCTTGGAAGGTTGTGGGGACTCAGCAAGTCTCAGTAAGCACGCTCACAAGTTCATAAGAAGTACAACAAATCCCGTGTATTAACCTACTTACGAAGTAGTGCCAAGAGTTAGTATGAGGACCGTCATCTCGGTCCAAAAGCCCCGCAAACTTGCCCTACAACCTTACTCCTAATCCCAAACCTTCCTGCACCCTAGACGTTGACCCCTTATCCATCTTAGACTGTCAAAATCATACCCAAATCCTGCAACCCAATGTAGGTACTTGGACCCTTCGAGTGGCCCCTGCGCCAGGCCCCGCCTCCAACGGAGTTGCACTGCGCTGCAGCCTCCCGCCCGGCCTGCAACCGGCACCGGTGCAGGCGACTCTGGGCGCTGTGGTCTAGGCATAATTAGTTTGGGGAGGAGCTCGAAGTGGGTGAAGCAGGTGGCCTTAAGAGGCGCTGTGTCTGTGTGCACATGCCTATATGATGCATGCATAAGAAACATAAGAAAGGGGAGAGAGAGAGAGAGAGAGAGGGAGTGAGAGGGGGAGGGAGGGAAGGGGAGGGAGGGGGGAGATAGAGAAAGAGAGAGAAGGGAGTTAAGGGTTTAGGGGACAAAGGCTTTAAGGTTTAGGTGGAGGGGTTCAGACAGAGTTTCGGCGGGGTAGGGTTGGGGAGCTCGTTACGCTTGCAGTTGTCCCACCTAGACTCCCCGGCATAAAATTATGCGCGCACCTACCTGTTCGCCGCACTGTATCGAACAGGTCGGTAGTGACATCACGTCCATCCTTCTCGAGTTCCAACCCGCTGACCTTCACAATGCAACTCTGCTCGGGCACATTATGATGCTTGGCTTCTGTTGACATGCACGCGCAGGTTTCAAGATTTTTGGAAGTTCCTTTTGCATGGATTCCAGTTTGAACGTACATGTAGCAGGGCTTCTGGTTTAGGCGCCATGTCTCAATGCCCAACTTTATTGCCAAATGGTGTTGAGTCTCTAGCAATATAGCGTCTTGACTGTAGAAGTCCAAGATTTCCACACGTTCTCCAATATATGTCTCGCTGTTTAGACTTATGTTCTCCATGGAGCGTTGAAGCACCGCAAGGCCTGCTCTTTAAACCTCAACATGCCATAGGTGTTGTAAGGCAGCCTAGTTAAGACAACCTCACCCCACCTCCCGCCAAGTGGCGAACATGCAAGACGCTCTCAAGACTGCCTTTGGCGTTATAGAAGGTTCTGGACATCCTGCATGACCCGTGACCCTATGTACCTTCTACCTTTGGGAATTGTGGTACTATATACTAAGGGCATGCAGGATTTAAGTAGCAACAGTATCAGTATCATGTAGCCACAAGGGGGAGGCAGTCTTTCTTGACAAGCCCCCTCTCTGATGTAAATAGATGCTTACCCTCCCCCAAGATCACATGGAAACCCAAACAGCCGAATCGTAAAGGGACCTGAGTCTTCTTAGGCCTTTTTTGGGGGCTTTCATGTTAGTTCCGGGGAGGGTAGGTAGCTGGCCAGGGCATGTGGCCTCGAAGGTGCATGCGCTGTTGCTGGCTTAGGGGGCCGAGAGCGTGAAGAACAACTTCTGGAAATTTCAGCTGGAGTTACAAGTTGGGTTACAATTGGATGATGATGATGATGGTGATGATGATGATGAGCATCAGCATGGTTGCTGGTACCCTGAACTGTAGTTCTGCGGTTTAAAATGTGGTTCCGTAATTAGGGGCCTCGACCTGCAAACTCTAAACCTGGTCGCTCACATGCTGGAACCCGCAAAACTGAAGCACAAACGTAGACAAGTTCCCGGGCCCGTAGCTGATAGCCTTCAACGTTCTACTGCAGGGCCCAAACAACTAGAATGGGGTTTTGAGAGCTTGGGTTTTACTATTTTTGGCATTGCGCCAACCAATTAGAGTAGGGTTCTGGCGCATAGTCTACGACTGCGATGATCGAGTCTCGAGTCGGTTACTTCTTCAGGCTGCTACATTATATGAGCAGTAGACTCAGCAAGGAAGTGGACGTAGGAGCGCCCTTGGTGGTTTCGTACAGTCCCACAGATATTCATGAGTAGAAACTCATGTCCATTCATTATCTAGGAAAGATTCATCCAAATAACCTACTATATAATCCCAGTTTCCATTTCCGCAAATATTGGCTGTAGCTCATATGCCGAGAACCCGAAACTCCAATCCAGGACCTATGCGCACTTCACAGATGATGGGCTCGTGGAGGAAAAGTCTATAGAAGTGTCCACCATTCACCCACGCTACAATGCAGCTTGACCGCAAGTTTCGCTGCAATTCAGTTAGAGCAAATCAGTGCAAGTTCACCCCAGATGCAGTTAATGGCTGTACTTCAAAGTTCCCCCGAAATTCATATGCATCACCATACAGCCCCCTTTTTGAAAAGACCTTGGTCTCTTTAGGCCGCCTTTTGGGTAACTTGCGGGAGGCTCGATTTAAGCTAGAAGTTGGTTCTGAAGATGAACCATGACCATGGTTTCATGCCCTCCTCGGGGTGAGATGGGGTTCCCAAAATTAGGGGTACATCATTGGGACGTCCCAATAAAAAGGAGTATTTCTACATTTTGGGATCTATATTGGGTTCCCCCGATGTGTGGAAACTACCCGATAGAGGGATGATGAGCATTGTTGGCCAGGGTTTGGGGTGTAGGGTGCGGCTTGCGGGTTCAAAAGCATGTGTATTGAGGATTGATGGCGTTTTGCTCCAAATCCACCAACCTGCCTCACATGCGCAGATCCTCACCCTAACATTGTCATAAAACTCTAGTAGACTGTACCACCGAAAACCCTTTTCTGAGCATCTATGCCCTCACCTTTTTCCCCCAACAACTGCCCACTGGAACAATAAGTTTCCCATGAAAGGAAAGCCGGCGAACACCTTGAGGGTTTAGGGTGTAGTCGAATGCTGGAAGTATCAGGCTGTGATGTGAGCTATAGTCTAAGCTCCTTGTATCCCCCTTAGTAACCCCTATAATGGTCCCCTACGGAATCCCCTTTGAAACCCCCTTTAAGGAGTTTAGACTATAGCTCATGTGGGGATTTAACTCCGTAGGTCCGGTGGATGTATGTCCCAGGTGTATAGGGACCCTGGGATTGTGAGCAAACGTTAGGGCCCATACTTCCGCCCTTAGATTAAGTAAGGTCCTAGCCCTCAATACCTCATGCCCCAAAGGACTTACACCAACAGAAGATCTCTCACAAGGATTTGGAGCCTATAAGGCTTAGAACACCTTACAGTACCTCGGTAGATCGCTGCCGGAGTACATAGAGGAACTTGACAGCTAGGCGAAGAAATGAGCATCCTGAATTAGAGTGCGCTGGGCTTGCCAGTGGAGATTAACCGACTCATCCACACGATTCATCTCCCGCACAAACTTTAAATCCTGCCCTAAGATCCCTGCGGACACTAAATCCTAAACGTTACACCCTCATTAAACCCTAAACCCCCCTAACCCTGAACCTTAGCCATCGTGAGGTCACAGGTCTCATGGCTTGGCACACCTACACCTTCAAAGTTCAAGCGATACTGGGACTTCTTCTAGGTAGGGTTTGGGGTTTAGGATTGTGGGCCGTGTAAAGGTGTTGCATGGTTTGCATAAGGGACTATATCGGGCTGAGGGATGGGGGGTTCTCAAGGGCTTAAAGTCTTTCAGGTTCTGGTTCTTTTGGGGTTGCTGCCATGTTGCACTGCTGCTTTTGCAGAAGGACTCCTATTCGGAGGATCACTGTTTTCCAGTCTCAGGTCTTCATAAGTTGAGTAGCTTTGGGGTCGAAACTGATGGGGCTCTACAGGTTCAGGAGTTGGAGCAAGCACAAGCACACAAGGTGTGGAACTGTATTGTCCTTAGACTTTTTCTTCAAAGCATTGAAAACTCTAATGATGACAGATGCCTGTCCGTCTATACATATCTATATATACACACATGTACATATATAATGCATACGTATATGTATGCACATATGTGTATATACATCCATACACATTTCTTCCATGTAGAATTATAGCCTACGCTCCCCCCAATGAGTCGTGGACTTCTTTTAATCGAACAATGGTCTTTGGGGCTTGCATTTTGGTTCGGGGGAGTATAGACCCTGAACCCTAAACCATATTCATCCCTATTTGGGGTTTAGGGTTTAGCCCTATATACCCTCATAGAACCCCTAGGAAGCCCATTTTAGGCTTGAAGCCCAGGATCACGGAGTCCGGCCTTTCTCCAGATCCGGGCTGGCAGGTGAACATGAGCACAGGCAGCTGCAAGATCTCACTTGCAGGGTTTGGGAATGTAGGGTTTAGGGCCTATAAGGGTTTAGGGGGTTTGGGCTTGTGAAGGTTTAGGGCTATAAGCAGAGAAGATCTAGATCAGTTTATAACCTCATATACGCCCCCAAGCATGTTCTGCCTGGCTGCCAGACCAGACCAGCGAAACTATTCCTCTCTGTTCATGTAAGATGTAGAATAATGCTCATAGATCTCCCAACAACATCCCGCTACACCCCCCGAAAGTCATACTGCCTGCGCGGTACCCTTATTTGTGGCCAGCATTCCTTGTCAATCCTGGCTGGGTATACTAGACATGCATGGGCGCCATTATTGTATTTTGGGGTATTCGAGTTCCCTTCATACTACTCTAGCTCAACCACAAAAGTAGACATTGCTCGAACACACCCAGGCCGAGACCTCATAGTCTCAGTCGAATCCCTTGCCCCAAATCCCTAAACCCTACAACCCACAGTGGCTGAAACTGTCAAAGCAGTCAGGCTGGTGGTGAAGCTTGTCCATAGAACCTTGTCTACATATCCAGCAGACAATACCCATGATCAATGAGGCCACCTAAACATACATTCGCCAGCTCTCCCTTCAACGCCAAGTAAGTCCTGCGCAAGGCTGGGTTCCTGTCCCAAAACCCTGAACCTCATGATTCACCATATACCCGCAATGTGGCAACACTTTTTAAGTTCCGTACGAGCCCAGAAGGTGTTTCAGAAACGCCGGACCCTCCGTCCTATGTTTTCTCGGATGGCTCCATCCTCCGGATTGGCTTCTCTTCGCTGACGCAGAACCGGCAGTGGAGCCACTTGGTTCAGGGCAGAGGGTTGGGGTGTAGGGGTAAGGTTGTGGGTATAGGGTGTAGGGTTTTGGGGTGTAGGGGTAAGGGTTGAAGGGTTTGGGGCGTAATTGGTCTTTATTCTTCCTGGTGGTTGGAAAAGCCCATAGTAGACCCAAGCCCTATATTATGGTGGTTTCCCAAAATAACGGGATCCCAATATAGACCCCAAAATACTATGGTCATTATTATACGGACCCCAAGAAAAGGTACTCCTAATTTTGGGAAGCCCCCATATAACCCCGAACATGTTACCTACATGCCATTCTTCCATTCACTTCCTTCCTTTCCCTCAGACATCTTTAAAAGCGGGGAGGGCCGGGGCCTCTGAAAAGTTGGGACTGCCATTTCACCCTCAGCTACGACGCTGATGAAGGTTCTTTGGGATGAGACCGCTAAAGCCAAAGCCTAAAAGCTTAATCCCCAAAACAACCTCTTCCCGAGGAAGTCTGAACCCTCAGAATGGTAAATCCCACAAAAACACGAGACCTCTAAAAATCATATGTGCTTCAACTTGAATCCCTCTTCCAAGGCGACGGAGCTGACGTGCCGGACTACAACCTCTACATCACGGCCGATGACCGCGGCTGGCCCAACGCGATGTCTCCGACGCAGGCCGCCAGCAAGTTGGGCCAAACATATGAGCATTTTTAAAGTAATCCTCACAGACTGGAAGCGCCATAATGCCCTTATGATCCAAGACATTTTTCGGTCATGTAAAGTACATGGACCTTCATGTCCCTAAGCTCTATGAAGCCTGCAGTCTAAAACCTTAAGCCGTAAACCTTGCATCGCCCCAAAGTCAGAACCTCTTGCCGCTTGCCGCAGAGGTGCTTAGTAGCTCTGGAGGCTACGCGTCTCTTGGGCAGCAGCGGTCTATATTGGGACCCCCCATTTATGAAAATCCCCAAATGTGAAGCCCTATCAGTGAAGAATGTGAAGCTATCGATCTAAAATTATATCCCAACAAGGAACCAGATAACTTATGCGTGAGGTGCCTGCAACCCTTCTCTTGATTCTCCACGAATGTCCAAGTAGGTCCAAGGTATACCTAGTCTTGGCGTCTTCCGTTTAAGGTTTTGCGGGTTTCGGGGCTTTCAGGGTTTGGGGGGTGGGTTTTTGGGTTCAGGTATTCAGGGTTCAGGAGCTCAGGGTGGAAGCCCAGTTACCTGCATGATGGGCTTCCTTTTCCTCAGCACGTGTATAACCTTCTGCTGCAGCTTACGTAGCACGTAAATGATTTGTCTTCTGGGGAAAGATTTGCACAAGAAACAAGCAGCTTACAACGATGGAAGGCGGTCTAACTTCCTTTGTGCGCTGGTGCTGGATTCATTGGCAGTATTCATCGCTTGTGACCAGAGAAGAATGTGGCAGAGGCTCGGGCTACTTGAGATAGAAGTCACTCGAACAATGCTCCTAACTCTGAATCCATTTGGTGTAAAGTCCTCCTTTAGTGGAGTATATGGGTGTTTTATCATGATAACGGGCAAGTCCATTTTCCATCTAGGTCAGGGGGGCTGTAGTTCCAGCAATAAGGCGCCAGCAGTGGCAGACCCTCAGCGCATGGGTTAGGGTTCAGGGTTTAGGGCTGAAGGGCGGTCAAAACCCCCTCAGTCGACCTAAACCCCAAGATCCCATGCTAACCCCTGAAGCTCTACCCCTTCCTCCCTAAACCCTAAACCCAAAGCATGCTTATGGCCCCAAATGTTCCTACATCCTGAGCAGAGGTACGACCATGATTGCAGCCAGACTCCGGACTACGCTCTGCTCGATCGCGCCTTTTCAAAGTCAGCCTCTTTTTGTTTTGGGCTTAGGGTTCCCCTTAAGTAGATAGAATATGGCTTTGGGTATAGTATAATAAGATCTCCATACCCCATATTCTATCTACTTGAGGGGGACTATAGTGTTGCAGGGTGTGGGTTTCGGGTCAGTGTTCAGGGGTTTGCACTTTGGAAAGTTGTTGGGCTTCGATGAAGATATTTGGCCAAACACCGCGATATACTTTGATCAGGGAGGGCTCCTTCAATCACATGTAAGCAAAAGTTGATACTAAGCCCTGCAATAGGAACCCCATATAGTCCCCTATATAACCTCCTTTAAGGAGTCTAGACTATAGCTCACATGTTGTTTCTTTGAAATCAGTGGTGGACCTGAAGCCAACGCGTCCTGTCATGCAGGGATGTGAGCCATAGTCAAAACTCCTGAATGGGGCTTCTATAAGGGATTATATAGTGGACTTCTGCAAGAATTATTAAGGGGGCAACTGGGAGTTCAGACTATGGCTCATGTAGGGGTTGCATGGAGACAGAAGCTTAACAGCGGAAAAAAACTAGCGGAGAATGACACGGACACTGGGATTATTTGGTAGCCTTTGGGGGTTTGGAGTTTCGGGGTAGGGAAGGTAAGGAAAGCCTGGATTATGGCCAGGTCATATCCTATCCTCTCATGTAATTACATATTTCTACTAAAGAGAACATTAGTCTTTCGTAAAACATACCCGCCAAGCGTCTTGTGCCTATCAATCCCTTCACTCTGCACCTAGCCAGCCCTTTCCACAAGAACCCCTGTGCTCCTGCACCATGAACTCAAAAACTAAAAACCTTATAGTCCCCCTTGCGTAGATAGGATATGGCTGAGTATATTGCAATAAGATCCCCATATACCCCATATTCTATCTACTTAAGGGGGGACTATTTACCTTAAATCCCTAAGCCCAGAATCCCTGTAAGTTGAGTCCTCAACCCTCAGCCGAACCTCCGGCAAGAGAAATGTAGAAGCTTCAAGAAAGGGTGATCTCGAAACCTTGTACTGCTGTAGTAACTAACATGTACCCCAAGCCTAAACCCTGAAAAACTATGAATCCAACTGTTGGGTGTTCTGCTCGGGTTCTCTTGGCCAGGCGACGGAAATCCTACGATAGTCGACCAAAGCTTCGGCTATATCTACATGAAGGCCTGTTTCAGGTTTTGGGGGTTTAGGATTTCGGGTGTAGGGTCTTCGGGTATAAAGGGTTTGGGCTTCAGTGCCTGTAAAGTGCTCAGGCAGTGCAGTGGGCAGGGTTTATGTTTTGAGGTTCGGAATCGGGGCCGGTGCATCAAGGAAATCTTGCACCACCCAAGACCCGCACAACACAGTGATTCCTACTGTATAGGCTAGCCATTGGTTTTACTGTTGACGATCTACTGTCAAACCGTGCGCAGTGCAAGTTCCTTATTTGCAGTACCTTGATGGTTAGGGATTCAAAGACAATCGAGTAGGAACATGGGTTTCCATAGAAAAGGGGACCCCAATATAGACCCGATAGATTATGATGCTCACTATGAGGAGCTCCAGAAAGGGATCCCTAATTTTGGGAAACTCCCATTTCAAATAGCATCCGGATAAGGAATCAGGGGAGACACGATAAGTATGAAGGACGGCTTGCCACTCTTGACAGCAAGCGACCTCAAACCTATCTGCAAATCTTATCGTGAGGGGGATTCAGCTTTGATTTCCTCAGCCGCAAAAGAGAAAACCTAATGATTATGGCGTATGGCATGATTCTTCTAGGATCCTTATTCTAGTGGTTGGAGAATTAGGGGTATCAAGAACCTTCTTATTGAAGACTCATTGTCCAACTCGATTGGTCTTTGGCTGACACTAGGGAGGGGGAACCCTCACGGCGACGCATCAATGATGCAAAGAGTCCCGAGACACGCAGGCAAGTATCATGTACTCGCCAGCAGTTTAGGCCATTATTGGGGTCTGGGACCCTTGCGCTGAGGCTGAAAGGCTGGGAAATGCCACTTACTTTTGGGATCTGAAAGTTTCGCACGATCCCGAACATCCCTGACTTTAAGCCGCTAAAGACCAAATAGGTGGTGTGAGGCCACCAGGTTTTGCAGAGACTCCTGCTGATAGTAGAAATCCTGCCCCACCCACGTGCACTCAAATCTGGGGCTGATAAGAAATCTAAATCAAGTTACCAGTTATAAAAATATGGGTATACAGCAAAGAATCGGGTTTCCTTATTATGGTAACTTAACTTAAGTTCCTTAACAGCAGTCCAAAAAATCTGGGATCTACAGGTAGTGGTTACGGAAGGGTTACATGCGGCTGCTAAGGGCTGATGAAGGCTCGTTGAGGACATAAACCCTGTACCCCAAACCCCAACCCCCAAAACAGGGGAAACCCAAGCCCACCTTCATCGACAGTGCGTCTAGACCCCCTTAGGTAGATAGAACGGACTTCCCCAGAATCATAATAAAATACACATATACCCCATATTCTTTCTACTACAACGGGACTACAAGTGGTATAAGATAACTTGGAAGGTCAGGGGAACTTAGTAAGCAGCTTAGTAATGGAGATAACCAGGATTACTATGTGGATTATAAGGGTTATTAACCTACTTACTAAGTCCCCCTGACCCTAAAACCTAAACCCTAAATAATGTATAGCAGCTTCCATTTTCTTTTCCATCCCCTACATAACCCCTATAGAACCCCAATACAACCCCAATATAATCCCAATTCTTACTAAGTTCCCCCGACCCTCCAAGCACTGTGGCCCGGCCAAAGGTTTCCCTGAGCGCAGCCTCCGGCTCTGGTGAACCTCGGGAGGATTTGAGCTGTAGTCTAAACTCCTTAAAGGGGGTTATATAGGGGATAATATACACTTACAGGTTATATAGGGGTTTATACAAGGATTATATAGGGTATTATATACGGGTTATATAGGGGATTATATAGGGGGTATATAGGGGATTATATGAGGGTTACATAGGGGATTATATAAGGCTTATATAGGGGATTATAGGGTTTAGGATTTAGGGTCTAAACTCCTTGAAGGGGGTGTATCTCGGGATGATATATAGGGACTACTTTGAGGGGTTATGAAGGGGGATACTAGGAGTTTACACTATAGCTACAGGGCTTATGGTTTAAAGTTCAGGGTTTAAGTTCTTTTGGGGGGCTACTTACCGCTGGTTAATAGGAGGGACCGAAGGACTGGAAAAGAAATGGGAAATTGGGAGGTATATAAAAGCTACTATAAGTATCCATTCCTTCCTTGCTAGGCGGAGGCAAGGGAAGGGCTTGGCAGGGGCTGTCTGGCGCTTTCTGGTTGGTTTGGGGCTTTGGGAGGTTTTTTGAAGCTTGGTGGATTTAGGAAGGTAGGGTTTCTTGGTTTCGGGCTTCGAGTTTCATGTATGGGTCAGGGCTTGGGGGGTTTGGGGTTGGGGAGAGTCAGGGCTATAAGGGATTTAGAGTCACATTTAGGTTTGGGGATTTCGGGGTAGGGAGATTAGCTCCTTTGGCCTTCAGTGAGACTGTGACATTCTAAGCCTTGGAGTTTCGACCCTCCAGCAGGAGCAAAGGAGGGGGTCACAAGTGGGCAATCCGGCTATGCCCACAATCAGCTGAGCCATAGTCTAAACTCCTCGTATCCCCCTCAATAGGCCCTATAATAGTCCCCTATGTAATCCCCTATATAACCCCCTTTGAGAAGCTGAGACTACAGCTCGGATGTCTTCTGTGACAAGCCATCCTTGTTCTAAGTATGGGCATTTCCAGCCTTGCAGACCTCGCAGACCCTAAAATCCAATGCCCAACCAAACCCCCTTTACATATATCTAGACCTGTATCTATACCCGAATCTAAGTTTGAATCTGTATT